GGCATGTGAATACGTCTTGGCGCCTACCAACCAATGCCCCGCTGCCTTGCGGATTAACCTTGGTAGGTATACGGCTATGGGAGTAAACCCCGAAACGAAAAATCTGCTACAGAAATGACTCACCTTAGCTATACTCCATCCATGGATGAGGTAGCCACTGCCATCAAACAGATAAAAAATAACAAAGCCTCAGGGCCTGGTGGAATCCCAACCGAGTTGTTTAAAGCAGGAGGACCTCTGCTTCCCACTCGTCTCCACTCTCTCCTGGAGAATATATGGGAAAAGGAGGAAACACCCCAAGCTCTTAAAGACGCCTCCATTGTCAATATTTATAAGAACAAAGGGGACCGGTCAGACAGCGGCAAGTGCCACGGGATCTCGCTGCTGTCCGTCGCTGGCAAGATTATCGCCCGAATCCTCCTAAACAGATTTCTTCCTGAGGCGGAAAACTTCCTCCTAGAATCTTAATGTGGCTTTAAACCATCACGTGGCACCACTTCGACCTTGAGGTGAATGTACGTAAGACTCAGATTCTCTTTCAGCCTGCCCATGGTTCAGCCACATCTCCACCATCCATCCAGCTTAACGGCACTACCCTCTCTTTTGTTACCCACTTTCAGTATCTTGGCCCCTAATGTCCACCACCACGGACATCGATGAAAAGATTCAACATCGGATCAGATGTGCATCCGAATCCTTTGGCAGACCCCGTACCTGTGTCTTCAGCTGTAGGGAGTTGAAATTATCTACAAAGTTGCACGTGTATCGAGTAGTGGTCCTACCCACCCTGTTATTTGGCAGTGAGACATCGGTCACATACAGGATACAGGAGGCACCTCAAGGCACTTGAAAACTTTCACCATCCTCCGAGTTAGCTGGGAAGACAAGAGAACAAATGCCAGTATTCTCACTGACACCAACTGTGGGAACATCGAGGCTACCATTATTCATTAACAACTACGTTGGAATGGCCATGTTACCCGCATGGACGACAGAAGGCTGTCAAAGCAGCTAGTTTACAGTCACCTAACAAATAGTAAATGTAACACTGGAGGGCAACTGAAAAGGTATAAGGATAGTCCTAAGATAAACCTGAAAAAGTGACAAATCGACCCCCTCACCTGGGAGACGATTACTCAATACCGTAACGCTTGGAGGAGCAACACAGGAGAAGGTGTCAATACTTTCTAGTTAACCCGACTGCAAACCGAGGCAGACAGGCGCCAACGCCGGAAAGACGCTGTCGCCGCGCCTCCCGCACTAGATTTAGCCCTCCACATTTGCAACAGCTGTCAACAACCCTGCCGATCCCGCATCATCCTCTTTAGTTATTTCAGAGCTCACCATCGAAGGTGACATCTTTAATAAATCATATCAATGTATCATAGAATGATCGTCATACTCGATTCCGAATGACAGCAATGGGCCTATCCGTGCTCCAACACACAATAAAATTTGAAACAACTGAGGTCAAGCAAGTGGTGTACGCTGATGACCTTACAGGAGCAGGAAAAGTGGAGGACATAAAAAAGTGGTGGGACCTGGTAACATCACGAGGCCCACATATAGAGTATCACCCAAACGCCAGCAAGTCCTTCCTCATTGTGAAGCCAGAACATTATGAACAGGCAATGGAGGTGTTCGGTGGAAGTGAGGTCAAAATAACAAAGGATGGCCAAAGACACCTAGGCGCAGTAATCGGCACGACGGACTTCAAGACCGAGTACGTAACGGGAAAGGTAAATGAGTGGGTTAGGGAAATCCAAGCTCTGTCTGAGATTGCTAACACAGAGCCTCATGCGGCTTTTGCGGCATTCACCCATGGAATCAAGCATCGTTGGAACTACCTGATGCGTACTATCCCTGATATCGGACCCCTCCTCCACCCTCTGATAGAAACTATCAGCGTCAATTTCATTCCCAAATTAGTGAAACACCCTCAGTTAATCCCAGCAGAAAGATCACTCCTTGCACTACCACCGAGACTGGGAGGAATGGGATTGACCAATCCAGAGGAGATTGTTGCCACCGAACATCAAAACTCAGTTAACTTCACGGCAGCCCTCATGGACCACATAATAGCTCAGAATGCAACAGGGGAGGTGGATTCCAGTGAAGTAAACAAGATTCGAAGGTCCATTACGACAGAACGGCCAAAGTGATAAGTTGCAGCAACTGTTGCTGCAAGTACCAGAGAATTTGAAAAAAAAGCAGTTATAGAGCAGGAGGTGGGTGCCTCGAACTGGTTAACTACGTTACCGATAAGGGCAAATGGTTTCAGTCTCAATAAATAAGAATTTACACATGCCAATGCTCTAAGGTACGGTAGGCCAGTAGATGGTTTGCCCTCCCAATGCGTGTGTGGCTCTTTCTATGGCGTCGATCACACCATGGTGTGCAAGGAAGGGGACTTCATATGTATGAGGCATGACGAAGTTAGGGATCTCACAGCAAATATGTTGAAGGAAATCTGCCGTGATGTCAGGGTAGAACCGACCCTCCTTCCACTGGAAGGTGAGAATTTCCAACGAAGCCCGTGTTAACGTCAGTGCTCAAGGATTCTGGACGCGGGGACAGCGAGCATTCTTCAACATCAGGATTTTTTATCCCATGGCCGAATACCACCGTAACTTAGCTCTCGACAGTGCACACAGGAGAAATGAGAACGACAAGATAAGGGCATACTGGGAGAGAATTCAGAACGTTGATCAAGGTAGCTTCACTCCTCTAGTGTTCACAACTTCTGGTGGGTTGGGACCAAGTGCATGATGCTTCTACGCCAGACTCGCGGAGGTGCTATCCAAACAGAAGCAGCAGCCCAGAAGTTATGTTACAGCCTAGATGAGATGTTGACTGTCCTTCTCTCTCCTTAGGTCGGGTTTGCTCTGCCTCAGGGGAACGAGAGCATCGGCCCCAAAGCCGACAAAAGTTGCAGATATTGACTATGAGGCTACAGTCACTGAATGCCGCATAGATCTGCGGCTCAACTAACTCAACACAGCTAGGATAGCTACTTATGTATTAGTATATTAATAGTAAGGTAATAAAATGGTGGTGAAGGTATGGTTATTGGGGGAGGCTGGAGGCCAATAAAAAAAAAAGTAGTAGTAGTAGAGTGTGTGTGTGTGTGTGTTTCTGTGTGTGTTTGAGACAGAAAGAAAGAGGTGTATTTTCTGTTGATTAAATAATATTAATAATAAAGTTATGTGCGTGGCGTGTCTGTGTGTTGTTACATGTATGTAGTAGCAGAATCGCCGCCCTCTGGGCGGCTCATCCGCTAGGCCACGGTAGGACACCACCCTCCGAGAGGCTCCACATTGTCTCATTGTTCAGTCCCCAAAAGCATAGATCTGCTGCTCAACTAACTCAACACAGCTAGGGTAGCTACTTATGTATTAGGAGAGTTAATTTTATGGTTATAAAATGGCGGCAAAGGTGTGGCTATCGCTGGAGGCTGGAGGTCATTTAAGAAAAACCAAAAAACAGTAGTAGTACCAGACTAGGTGTAGTAATAGGAGTGGTGTCACCTGTCAACACTTAAGGTTGTTAAAGATATATAAGTTGTATACTTTCTTATATCATATTTTTGTTATACAGTAAGTCCTCGCTTAAAGTCGGCCCGCTTTATGTTGTTTAACGTCCCGATGTCTCGGTACAACGTCATTTTGCGTCGTCATGGACTATTTTTTACAGCACATCACCGTCTCCCTTAGGACAAATATTTAATTTACCTTTGTCACAATATGCATTTAGGATGGTGTGTGCTTGTAAATGAGTAAAAATAAATGAAAAAAGTTACATATATTTACCTGAAAATACGAGTTGAAAAACATGTACAGAACTTAAATGTACTTGAGGGACTAAAATTTTTATCTCTTGTGCAAAATTTATGATGTCTATATTCATATTATTCGCTGTCTTGCAAGGATTTCAGCAATGCAATTTATATACTGCTAACTTTAGTCTGTGACATTTAATAAGATAAATACTTTAAGCCTTTAAAACCACCGTCACCCTTGCTGGAAGTCAGAGGGGAGTTGATTTTTTATGACAGCTGGGTATTTATTTATCTGTCATGTTGAGGAGTTTTCTCTTATAAAATATCAATGAATGTGACTTTATAGTAATGCATTCAAGCACCTCACCAGGCATCACACAAGGAGCTTTGAATTTATGTATATGTAATGTATTTCATGGGGCAAAGGGAGGCTCAGGAACGTAACTCCCGTATTTTGTCTATTTCTTATAGGGAAAATTAATCCGCTGAACGTTGTTTCATATAGCATTGCATTTTCAGGAACGTAACCCTGACATTAAGTGAGGACTTACTGTATGAGTAAGTAAATGTGGAATATTTACATGTTGTTTTAAATGATGGCTTTAGCTTTATACACTTGTCTAGTATCTTGCCACACTAAGACTTCCCCCATTATGATTGATCCATGACAACAAGTGGATTTGTGGATGGTAGGGAAAACAAGAAAGAGCAAAGATTCTCTATTTCTCTAAAATTTCAGGCTACACAGATTTTTGTGTAGCTCAAAATGTTAGAGGAATAAAAAATTTGGCTTTCTCCTTCCCACCCATCAAATCCACTGTCTCTTGATCCATCCCCCACCAAAATGGGAGAGAGAAACATTACTGAAAATGTTTTAAGAGCTAAAATATGGTATGATCCCTATTATTGTCAGATAACAGAACCCATGATATTATTTACAACAGTAAATGTGTCTAATCATTGTTATTTATCATGATAGGTATGATGAGGAGTCAGACCGGATCCTTCACTATGAGAGAGTTTCACTTATTGATCTGGAGAAAATTGAAATGGGTCCCTTTACCTGGTAAGTTTTCTAATTTTTATCTTGACAGTGTTTAATAGGTCTCAGAGATACTCATCCATATACAGTACAGTATTGTATACATCTTGACGTGGAGAAATAATATGCACTCATTACTCAAACTACTTATGAAAAAGCTTACTGAAGTCAGCTAGTCTAACATTGTGCATGATCTGTGCTTTGCTACACCCTTATTTCATGGTATGATATACTGTATGGCCATATTACCACCATTATAACCCTTCCTCAGGTCACACACTCAATCACCCTTATTTATGCCTGTAGTTCTGACTTTCTGCATAATGTGCATCCTCTTCACACCATCACCCTCCGTACTATCACTTGGATGCTTGGTGGACATTATTATAAGGGCAGAATAAGAACAAAACCACATATATAAGTGAGAAAATCAAGGATCCAACTTCTTTGAACTCAAAATACAGTATTTTGACAAATATGAGCCACAATTATTCTTAAAATATTTTGCGAGGTGGAGGAGCAGTTCACTATAAGATACAGAATTTAGTAACGCCTTAAAAATACTTGTAAGTATTATTGTAATTCCTTGTGCACTCTAGTTACCACCAGTATACATTCGGTGTGACCAGATCACACCAGCAGTTATCAATACTGTGACTTGTAAATTATTATCATTTGATTATTACCACTTTATTCTTTATTATCCAGACAAGATAAAGCAAGTAATGATTGGATCAGTAGGTAATTGGTAAGTTTTAGTAGCACCAACACAACAGAGGGTTAAGCCTATTGTAACCGCCCAATGAGCAACTGTGGGATAAGGAGACCCTTGCACGTAGGATTCGATTGTTCTTTATTCGGTCAAAACCTGCAGAATACAAATTACATATGCTACATATGAGATAATTAATTCATTCGTATGTTCTATCACTATTAACGACTACATATAATATATTTGAGTAGAGTGGGGTGTTAAACCCTATAAAACTTTAGTGTTTCGGGTATAATGTAGGACTTATTAACTCCCTGACTTGATGGTTCACTGGATGGGTAGAGACTGCTCGAGCTTTATCTGCGCTTTACTCTTCCACATTAGCTCAGCCTAGGCGAGGGCCAGCTGTTTCACACCTCAGCAAAGCTCGTTGTCAACACACACAACACACACACACACACACACACACACACACACACAACACACACACACACACACACACACACACACACACACACACACACACACACACACAACACACACACACACAACACACACACACACACACACACCACACATCACACCACACCACACCACACACACACACACACACACACACACACACACACACACACACACACACAACACACACACACACACACACACACACACACACACACACACACACACACACACACACACACACACACACACACACACACACACACACACACACACACACACACACACACACACACACACACACACACACACACACACACACACACACACACACACACACACACACACACACACACACACACACACACACACACACACACACACACACACACACACACACACACACACTCACACTCACTCACTCACTCACTCTCGTTTATTCTACTGGCGGTAACACCTATAGTTAATTTATCTGAATTTAAAAAAATTGAGTTATTAGATTAAGACATTCCTTGTTTGTAAAGATGGAATTAAATGAATATTTGATAAAAAAAATCAATAACACATGCACTGTATAGTGATAATTTCTCACTAAATACACATACCCACTCAATAAGTACAGGTGTACACCAATAACCAACACATATAAGGACCGTGAAATGTCTTTGGTCAGTGAATCAACGGTTATCGAAGCACTTGGTCCCTTAACAACATAAAAAATTCAGGGGATTAGGGACCGGCCACCCTGCAAAAACTCCCATCTACCCTTGATATACTTCTCTACTGCACGCTGTCAAGTAAGAAAATGAAGCAGACATATAAAACAAGCATGCTACTACTTACTAATTTGCCGTTACTCAGAATCGAGTATGACGATCATCCAGCTATGATACAATGATATGAGTTATTAAGGATGTTACCTTCATTGGTGAGTTTTGAGGTGACTAAAAAGGCTGATACGGGACCAGCAGAGTTGATCACAGATGTTGCACATGTGGGGGACTACATCTAGTACGGGAGGTGGCAGCAGCTTGTCTGCCTCGGTATGCAGTCGGGCTAACTCGAAAGTATTGACACCTTCTTGTGTGATGATCCTCCAAGCATTACGGTGTGGAGTGATTGTCTCCCAGGTGAAGGGGGTCGATTTGGCATTTTTTCAGGTTTGCCTTAAGGCTATCCTTATACCTTTTCAGTTGCCCGCCAGTGTTACGTTTACTATTCGTTAGATGGCTGTAAAGTAGCTGCTTTGGCAGTCTACTCTCGTCCATGCGGGTAACATAGCCAGTCCAGCATAGTTGCTCATAGATAATGGTAGCCTCGATGCTTCTACAGTTGGTGTTAGCAAGAATACTGGCATTTGTTCTCTTGTCTTCCCAGCGAACTCGGAGGATGGAATGTAGACTACGTTGGTGAAAGTTTTCAAGTGCCTTGAGGTGCCTCCTGTATGTGACCCATGTCTCATTGCCATAGCAGGATGGGGAAGACCGTTGCTCGATATATTTGCAACTTTGTTAATAATTTCAGCTCCTTACAGCTGAAGCGTACGGAGTCTGCCAAAGGCTTGAGAAGTACATCTGATCTGATGTTCAATCTCTTCATCGATGTCCGCAATGGTGGACAGGTGGGAGCCAAGATACCGAAAGTGGGTAACATTAGAGAGTATAGTACCGTTAAGCTGGATAGATGGTGGAGGTGTGGCTGAACCAGGGGCAGGCTGAAAGAGAAATTGAGTCTTACATACAGTTGCCAGCCAAAGTTCTCCCACAGCCCTGTGTAGCAAGTTGTGGGAGGACTTTTGGTGGCAACTGTACATTCATCTCAAGACCGAAGTGGTGTTCAGTGTGAGCGACAAGGGTGAGGTAGTTTGCATACTGAAGTTTAGTAATGGAAGCTTCCGACACCTCTGTTCCTGCCTGGAGTCATCTTATGTTGAAAAAACCCTTCATCTTGTACTGGATGTCCACTCTGCCAGTTAAATTGGCACTGGCATGATTAAGGAAGGCAGCCAAGAAGATGGTTAAGAGAGTTGGTGCCAGTACACATCCTTTTTTTACCCCCGTTTGGATGGGGAAGAACTCAGACTGGTTGCCATTGTGCAGGACACTGCCGTTCATGCCATCATGGAGTTGCCTCACAATGGAGATGAATTTTGGTGGGCTGCCAAAACGGCTGAGGGTCCACCAGAGGGCTTCCCTGTTGACCGAGTCGAAGGCCTTGTTTCGGTCGATGAAGGCCATGTACAGGTCACGACGCTGTTCTCTGCACTTTTCCTATATTCAGTGCGCAGCAAAGATCTACCGCCTGGGAAATTATTGGAAGCATTATGTGTTGTCTAATGGTAGACCCTGCTGCCATATGGCACCACAAAAATTGTGACCAAGTCCCAGGTTGCTAATCTGACTTTCTGCCTCATTTACACACAATTGCAGGGTCTTAATTGTTTCTCTAACTCGACAAGTTAACATACATACAGTAAGTCCTCGCTTAACGTCGTCCCGCTTAACGTTGTTTCGGTACTACTTCGCTGAAATTTAGAGAGACCAAAAATTCGTTTAACGACCCAGTGATCCGATAATACGTCGTTTTGCGTCATCACAATCTACTTTCTACGGCCGTGCTTCTCTCTCTCGGTCCGGCGCGCTGCCTTCATTCGCGGAACGTCACAGCGTCCCCAAGCGACGCCAAGCCAGTCTCTGTTACAACTTCACATCATTTGTGTGTGCTTAAGTGCCTTTGCTCTAAAACTGTACTATAACCATTCAAAATGGCTTCCAAGCACCCATCTAGGGCTACTGATGATGCTAGTGTAGTGAAGAGGCAATGTAAGACCATAACCCTTGCTACGAAAATTGATGTATTAACCTGATTTGAAAAAGGGGAACGTGCTGTGGACATAGCCGCTGTGCTTGGTCTAACTCCCACAATGATGCGTACTACCTGGACCAACGCTGACAAGATCAAGGTTAGTGCTGGAAGTGGTTCTTCTCTGAGTGCTACTAAGACAACTTGTACTAAAAGCACTGTGATAGAGAAGGTGGAAAAGATGCTGGCAATGTGGATGGAGGACCAGAATCAACGTAATGCGCCTGTGAGCCTTATGGTTATCCAGCATAAGGCCAGATACTTGTTTGACGACATGAAGGGAACAGAGGGTGAAGGATCGAAGGAAGAGACCTTTATGGCCAGCCGAGGATGGTTTCAATGATTTAAGCGTCGGTATAACTTCTACAACATAAAGGTGACTGGTGAAGCTGCCAGTTCAGATGCGGTTGCTGCCGAGACATTCCCGCCAACAACGGAGGAGTAAGCAGTGGCGGAGGAACCCCAGTCAGAGCAGGAGGCAGCCGCAGCCGCAGAGTCTCAGTGACTCGCCATCCTCCTCCTCTTCCACCCTCCTCCACTCCCACCCTCCTCCGCTCCCACCGTCCTCCTCCGCTCCCGCCGTCCTCCTCCGCTCCCGCCGTCCTCCTCCGCTCCCGCCATCCTCCTCCGCTCCCGCCATCCTCCTCCGCTCCCGCCATCCTCCTCCTTCGCTCCACTACCCACCACACACTCGCTCTACCACCTCCTCCCATCGATGAGTTCCAATATAAACTTAGGATATTGTAGAATTGGAGCTGGTGACCTTATAGTACCCTGATGTTGAACACATGACAAACACTTAGCAATATGTAATTCTATATCTTTCTTCTTAGTTTTCCAGAAGTATTTTTTTCTGATTTCCGCAAGGCACTTGTCACGTCCTTGGTGACCTGCCTGAGGAACATCGTGGAACAACGTTATAATCGTTTTACACAACGTGTCAGGTACGCTATTTGTGTAATAATACCCTCAGACGTCTTTTTCGATCGATGGAATATGTTATGTCGTAA